AAGCAGTCCTGGTCAGGGATCAGATGTAGGGTAGGAAGGACAGCTGAGGATCGAATCTGACGCCTAAGTTATATATCAACCTCCTCATGAACCTAAGTAGCATTTTCTTTGGTACCATAAATCTTCCTGCAGTGTGGTTTCAACATTTCATTCACACCTCCAACAATGCAGCACATCCCCAGTACTGCATTGGAGAATAATAGACTTTGTGGCCTCCTAGTATTGAAATGGGGCTTGAACCCACAACCTTCTGATTCAAAGCCTCAGCCAGACTGTAACTGTTATAACAGCTGAGCCTAATCACCATTTCTTTCTTCCCCCTTTTTCAGTTTTTATATATAGAAAATAAGTTGAACCATTTTCTTTAAATCAGAAAGAGATAGATTTAAGCATTTGTGTTTTATTGACATTCATTCCTCTGGTACAATTCCTATCTCATATTGTCTACATATATTTTGCCCATAAATATACTCAATTCACTTTACTGTATATTCTGTGAAGCGCTTTGAGACGTCTAGAAGACGTGAAAAGCGCTATATCAAATGCAAAGATTATTATTATTATATATCAGTGCTCTGAGATGTTATCTCAAGGGTGCTATACAAATGCAAGTTATTATTGTTGTTGTATCTTCTCTGACCATCATTTACAACTTGATTTAATTAGCATCATTAGCTTCAATTTGTTCCCTGGTCTATAATATGTTGCATTATAGGAATCTTTAATGGTACTTATTTTCATATGGTACTTATTTTCACATATTTTTATGCTAACAGGGACAGTTTCCGAATATGATAGAATTGGAATATCCAATCTTACCATTCAAAATGATACCTTATCCATAAATGTACTGAGTTTCCAAAACACCAACTGCAGTACGGTATAATAATCGTTTTTTTTATTAGCTTTATTTTCAATGGAATAATCTATTAAGAAAAAATAGCTTAGAAGGTAGGGATGTCTTATTATTGCACCATCTTTGAAGCACATGTCATGCAAATATGAAACAGACTGTTTCAGAAGGCCATGGATATAGTGTCAACTAAGGTATTCCAAGAGGGTTATATATATATATTTGGGAAATTATAAATATTGAGGAAGAAAAGGTAAGGACATTGGAATTAAGAGTTACCATAGACTTACTGGCAGGTTCAAACGGCTACTTCTGTTCTTACGTTCCATGATGCAAATATATAGACTAAATTTACCTTCACTTGATTGATACCAAACCTGCTCTATTCCTCTGTTGACAGTTGACATGTGTCCAATGACCAACAAAGAAAGATTAACATAGCCTGCCAACCCAATTTACAAATAAATAAACTCAATGCACACAGAGTTAACAGACTGAATTATTGTTTATTTCTGGAAGATGAATTTTGACCATAGCAGTGCAAAAGTGCAGGACACGTTACTGTAAAGCTATAATACCAGCTAGCTCACATTTTGTGCTTTTGTGACAACGTCACCTCCATGAGTGTAATTCATGGAAATACAATACAAATGAATATATGTTTTGATGTTATACTTCAGTTTGAAATACCCAGTTTTAAAAGTTAAGTTTAAAAACCAAAGCACAAGTGAAGAATATTTCTCTAAAATAATCGGACAAGAAGATGGTACAAAAAAGTTTATTAGGTAACACTTTTGTAAACATTTGAGGTAAATTAACATTTACATCAATTTGCTCTTACAGAATGTGATACATAAGGCACTTCTTTCAAGACAGCACTTATAACAGCTTTGTTGCTTTTGCTCCAAATCATTTAAAAGTCCCTGACTGCCCAGAAAGTTCTTTGTATCTGGGTGTGAGGTTATATAAGGTAAATAACAAAATGCTCCCATGGGCAACAAGCAGAGTTTGAAGCCTCTGAGCAAGTCTTCAGCTGTTAACACAACAGCATGAAAGAAAGCAACAAAATATTGGATTAGGAAATAATTGTTTAATTTAAATTGCATGTACAAAATATTTTACCTCACTTATTGTGGCACTGTGGTCTATTTGACATGAATTCTGTATTGTAAATATATTACCAAATAATACTAATAAATATTACCAAATAAACCACAGTCCAACTACTGTAATAATCTTTGCATTTGGTATAGCGCCTTTCACTTCTGGAGGGCATCCCAAAGCACTTCACAGGATTTACTGTGAAAGGAAGTGACTGTGTATTTGTGGGCAAACCCAGTAGCCAATTTTACGCACAACAGTGTCCCACAGACAACTGTGATTGAAGGCCTAGTACTACGCAATTACCTTTTGAAAGAAAGTCTGTGTCTGTGCATTTCTCATAATCAATAAAACCATATAATTGTATACAAGAACAATCTGTATGACTTTCTTGAAATGCTGGAAATCAATTAATTGTACAGCACTGCCTTTTCTGTGAAGAGCCCTCGTGTTGTATTAAGACATTTCATTTTAGATTTGCTGCATACTGGCAGGGTCGTTTTCCTACAATTTATTATGCGACCAATGTAAACTCTGGTAACAGTGTTTTGTCTTTTTTTGCTCAGATGTGCAACTTTCAATAATGTAAACTTTCAGGATCCATAACATAGTTACAAAGATACCACACATCATACAAGAAAAATAGGTGCAATAAAGAACAACAGTTTTAAAAATATTACACCTACAAACTGATTCCTCGATTTTTTAGTTGTCAATAATGTTAAGGGTTTTAATAAATAATTAATGCTATATCAAGCTAGAAAATTAAATCAATCATGGGGAAGACATTAAAGTTAGAATTGAATTTTTTTAAATCAAGGAATACATGATTTTTACTTGTTTTGTGGCCAATTATCTACTGGATTTAATCCAAGCAAGAGCTACAAGTTTTCTTAAAAAATTATAGAAGAAAATCATTTTCTTATTGATGACAGCAGTTGTTTTTTGTTCCAATACATATTTTCAATAGAACTAAACACAGGGCAACAAATAAATCAAATCTAAATGTTTATTTGTGTTAGGTAACCTCAGAAAATAAACTGCATTTTGTGTGAAGAGAAAAAAGTCTATTAACATTTCTTGCACAAAACAGTGCAATAGAAGCATTAGCTTTTCTCTTTTGAAATATAAAGCTACCAGGTATTATGATTTGTTTTAACTTTAGCTGGGGCAATGTGACTTTGAAGCAAAGATGAAACCTGAAAGAATACTACTAATACATACCATGCGCTTAATAGTTTCATTCCTGAAAATGTAATCGCACTTTAACTCAAAAGTGCGTGCCCTAGGAAGATGTCAAATTTACAGCCTTTGCAACCTAGTGATCCTTTGGAAGGATCTACTGAAACGGTGAAGAAGCAATTGTCACTTGGGCACTTTTTTTCCCCCTTAATATTAACTACAATTAAGTTCCTTCTGAAACTACAGCAAAAAATAAGTGCCCAAGGAAACAGAGTGCAACTCTCCTTTTCTCTATCTCTCATTCTGTTTCCTCTAACAACAAATGTGGGAAATACAGCATGATGCCCTAACTCTGTAATACAATGTATTTTTTAATCTTTGTGTGTAAATTTTAACATATGTATTGTAATGGTGACACAACCGTTTAAACTGTTCGTTTCTTCCAAATTAAACCCTATACTGGAAAGGTAGGGGGTGTAAAAATACCATGTTCTTGAAGCAACAATTGGGACCATTTCAGTTTATTGATGACATATCTTTGAAATATTTTGATAGTACACTTGACCTAAAAACTTAACAAAAAAGTAAAAACATTACTCTCCTATAAATACAGTTTTACCACAAACCATGCCTTTATTTTACTTCTTGGTTATTAAGCTCACCTTCTGTCCTGAGGCGCCCAGGTTAAAAGTGGTAGAATCCCAAATTTATCAGAGTAGGATTGTATCTACCATTACACACAAACACGCCCTCACACACAAATAAACTGCAGCGCATACCCCCTTAATCTATAACTGGTATGAGTTTGCTGTCCTGCTTGAAGTATTTAAGATAAGAAGACATTCAAATCTCTCACTTTTTTAAATCTTCCATGTACATCACCCTATAAACGTTAAGTACTTTCTAGTAATCTAACTTTTTTTTAAATTTGGAGAGGTGCTCTTTTATCTTAAATACCATATATAACCTATTACTGATTAAAGCAATGTAGGCATTAAAGGTGTTTTAGAAGTAGATATTAAGCAGGTATGCAATCCTTTTGTTTTCTTTTGTCACTATAAGCAGCGAAATTCAAAATTCTACTACTTTTGTTGGGGCACGAGGAACAGTGGAGATGGAACAAAACCAAGAAGCTAAATATTTTTGCAGCTCTGTGGTAGGACTAAGTGGAATACTGTATGTGTCATGCATGAAGCATTCTGCGTGTTGTAGTTCAGCTTTAGAAACATTTACCTTCAGTGTATTAATTTAAAGAGAACTGATTACAATCACAGAGTGCATAGGTCTTGTACTAACATAAGATGAGCGCAAGACATTCAAGGAGTTGTGTTTCCGGAGCTTACTGTAGACATCTAACCTTGGCATTCAAAAATGCTTTGACATTAGATTAAAATGTACTGTTCTTCACTCAACATGTGGTAGCAGGTTTGGTAAAATTAGCTTCACTGAGAGGTGCAACCAATAATCTTGAGTCAACTGAAGGTGATGGCTACAACATGCTAAATTGCTCTGACTCTTTGCTAACATGATGCAATATTTGGGGCATTTCTACGTGTCGGATTTTCGCATTTTAGTCGTTACACTTCACCGAGTTGGTTTGGGAAATATGAAAACGCTGGTAAAAATAGGAGCTTGGGTATTTTTTTTTTGACATCCCCGAGGCTACCTTGGGAGTGCAATTCGAAAGATTTGCATTCAATTAAATCGCCACCTCTGGTGAAAGCCACTAAGAAATATACAACTCCCGGATTGCATTGCAATGACAATGCATATACATATGCACGCCTCTCCCACCACCCCTGACTTTGCGCGGCCATTTTCTTTTGTGTGTGTGTGTGTGGGGGTGGGTGGTGGGTGGGTGGGTGTACGTGTAGGTGTGTGTTTTTTTTAAACCCTGTCGATAAAACTGTACTGATTTAAGAGAGGAGGGCGGGAGGAGGATGATGAGGAAGTGTTGAAGGGCAGGGAGGAAATGGAGAGAGGTTGCGCGGCACTAAACCGACAGGTCGTCGGACCTCGCCCTGCTGCTGCTGGCTTTACTGGCTCTGCTCAGGCGTCGTGTGTCCAGGGCCGGAGGCTCGTGCATCTCCACCGTCGTGGTCACGTGCCCGTCGCCACGCGCCTCGCGCTGGCCTCCTGGCCGCTCATTGGCCGGCGTCTGGGGCACGTGATCGCCCTCGTGCTTTGGCCGTTGTTGTCGCTCGTGCTCCTCCCCCTCCTCCTCCTCCGGCTGCTGCTGCTGCTCCTCCTCTCCTCTGTTGGGGCCGTGGCCGTTGCCGCCGGCGGCCGGTTGGCGTTCGCGGGTCTGCTCGGTGGCGAAGTTGGCCCAGTTCTGCTCGGCGGCCAGCTTGTTGTTGTACACCGCCGCGTAGGGCGTCTTGTTATCCGGCAGGGGCGACATCTTGAACTCGACCGGCGGGGCCCCCGGGTAGACGGGAGCAGCCTCCGTCGTGTCAGGGAAGTAAGGGTAACTGAGACTAGCCGGGGCGGTCCTGGTGACTGGCGTCTCCGGCTCGTGGTCCAGACCGCATCGACTGCTCACCCCCTGGCGTAGCTTTTTCCAGCCCAGGTGATAGATTTCTATTAGGTTCAAACAAAGGGACACGCAAGCCACCACAAGCATAAATATGATGAAGATCGTCTTTTCCGTTGGCCGAGATATGAAGCAGTCCACGGTGTTGGGACACGGCCACCTACTGCACTTATACAGCGGTCTAAGCTCAAAGCCATACAGGATATACTGACCTACAATAAATCCGATTTCAAATATCGTTTTGAAAATAATATTGAAAATGTAGGTGCGCAGCAGTGCCCCTCGGATTCGGATTTTACCCTGTTCATCCCTAAAGGCAAGCTTCTTCTTGCCCTCTTTCAGCAGCAGTTCTTTGCCTCCTTGGCCTTTTCTAATTTCTTCCTCCCTGTCTTTCCTTTTCTCCTCCATGCGCACTATATGCAGTACATGGCCCAGGTATATCAACGTGGGCGTTGAGACAAATATGATCTGGAGCACCCAGAATCGTATGTGGGAGATGGGGAAAGCCTTGTCATAGCAGACGTTCTCGCAACCCGGCTGTTGGGTGTTGCAGGTGAAATCTGACTGTTCATCTCCCCAAACCTCTTCAGCCGCAGCGCCCAGCACCAGGATCCGGAAGATGAAGAGCACAGTCAACCAGACTTTGCCTATCACGGTCGAGTGTTCCTGTGCGTTCTCCAAAAGCCTTCCCAGAAAACTCCAGTCACCCATTGTCTCAAGTCTCTAACCTGGAAAAGCAATGAATATTTGGAAAAAAAAGTGGTATTAAATACTTGGAGAACGAACAGCCCCACAGACGCGGTTAAAATGTGCACTTGTAGAGGTGGATTGGAATGTAGAAGTGCGGTAGATCTGCATAGATCAAGATTTTTATCAGTTTAAAAAAACAGTCGGTATGATTGACACTGTAGGAATAGTGCAGCATTGTTAAATTGGCTTTAGATGTGTATTACAAAGCACCATAGTTGGTATAAAACAGTTTACCAATCTAAATTGCATTGCAAATTAGGTTTAGTTTGAACGTGCGACGTGTCCTTGGATAAGATTCATAAATTCATAAATTGTCTTAATATTAAACATACATTAACATTCAAAATATCTTAAAAGACGAAAACGAAGGATGGTTTGTGAATGTGTTAGAAAATCCAGGTTACTGTGTTTCATAATATATGGAAAACATGCCGAGAGCTCATATTGCTGCACAATATCAGAAATAAATCAGTTACCTTCAAATTAGAAACAACATATTAAATCTGCAACAAGATATACATATGATTATAAAACTCAATGCATAACGGATGTAACAGAACACTACAATTTATAGTACTATTTAGAGGCCTCTCAATAGTTTTTAAGTTTTATGAAAATATATGTATTTAAATACCAATGATAGGTATATCATCAGGTTTTTATTACGTACGTTTTACAAAACTGATTTTACAACTAACTGCTCGTTATCAGCCGAACATATACTCCAATTAAACGTTTAAAAATAGTAAAATAGAGTGTCTTGTAAAATAATAGTACTCACCAAAAAGGGGTTTAAAGACAATTTGACTCAGTAAAATTTGTAAAAATGACGAGAATCAAATTATTTGTGGGCGAGTTTAGATAAGTGCAGACAGACGTGTTCTCGGGAGATATGATTGAATCGGTTATGTGGCAGATGCCCGAGCAGCAACAGTCGCTTGGGTCTGACATTTGTATGAACAACATCTGTACCAAAAGTCTTGATTCTGTCTACTGAATATCTTCGGTTAATTGGAGGGCAGACAAATAAACTACAAACACGTATCCGGGGAATGCTATTCATGTTATGCATGTCTAGGTGAGGAATTCAGGAGCTGGGCTGGTGAATTGTTATACCAGTTATTTTTTTACATTCATTCATCCAGTCCTCTACTTTGCGTGTAAAAATTCAGACATTTGTATTTACGGTGATTTGATTTAGTCTTGATACGTAGATAACCCTGTAGGTAAATTAACAAGATCGGGGATGTTTTAACATCAATCAATTGTGAATGCGCAGGGCAATTCGGGGGATGCATTAAAAAAGTACCAATGAAAGGCACCGTATTTATTTTCTTCTATATTTGACCAATAGATTAACACGTTAACAGTTGTTGACTCGTTTGGATGTTAAGAATGTTCACGTAAACGGTTGTAGGGGATTTGTTTGATGGATTTACCACCAAAATAACGAAGAAGATCCAGCATGTCCATGTTAGCCTATGTCAGTACAATGCAGTTATCATTACAACTCCTCTAATATATAATATTAAAAAATACCGCATTAATTCCACTTAAATTCATTTTCACACTTAGTCATAACAGATCTTAATGTAATATATCGAGATATTTTAAAATTTGTTTGCGGTGTTTAATTAACCCTACAAATACTCTGCCATGTTAGCGTGTGCATAATGTTTGGTTTATTACTCTTAATAACTTTCTGGCTACATTGCAGAGATCTTCTATTTCTCACTCCTTTATTTGGTTTTATTACCACCATCTGTTTCTGTGCCTTTACTCTAGGTTGTTATTTGAATTTTTTAATATTCAACTTTGGAAGCATTTTTAAGGTATAGATTGACTGGCATATTAAATGAGGACACCATTGTGTCTGGACAACGTAAGAAATAAGTTTGTCAATTAACCGATAAACGTAATAACACACAAAAGTGTTCATTTCAGACTTTCATTTATTTGTGAAAAAAAACCTATGTAAAATAGCTGTATATGTTATACGATCCTAATCCAAAGAGAAAACGTGCAATCATACCAGCCTGAATTTGCTCAACGCCAAATATTAAATGCGAATTGGCAAAGATAGGAGCAACTGTTCAGTCTTATAGATAATCAGAAAGTCATGTGAAAAGACAAACATTTGAGCAACTAAAACTGCTCAATTGAAAACAAACATTTTAACATATATATGTCACATGACGTAAATATGTCTTATTGATAAATAATGAACGCTGTATTCAATCGGGTTTACAGACTTCTTCCAGATTGTAAAATCGGTCTCTTTACCGTTCACCAGATGGAGTTTATATATTCAGTGGAACTAAATACTTACAATAAAGCTCAAATGCTATTATAATTGATTTTGACGATTCTCAGCTTAGTGGATGAGGCATACACACACACACACACACACACACATACACATAATTCGAAAAAAGTTAAACCTGTACTGGACCCCCTAATTTCGGAGAATTTAAATAAGTATTGGGCAGTTTTAGCATGAGCAAGTCAGGCAGCTACTGACAAAATACTTCGCTGAAGTGCACATATTCTTTAAGAAATTTGGATTTAAAAAACCCTGTTGGTTCCTGTGGCATTATTCGCATTACCACTGGCATCTCTCAAATATATGATGGACCACATAATGTACTGTAAGTGGATAACAGGATTCAGATAATACCAGGGAACTAAATATAACACAGAGTGAATAACCTAGTTTACATTAGATGTTACAGTGTGTATTTCCATAGCATGGTGTAATGATTCATTGCAGTCCAAATAAGATGAATATTATTACATTGTAAATTTTGTTTCTTGTGCTTTAAGAAAATAGGCATTTGAATTATTGTGTTTTTTTTAAAAGGAAATAGTATTTTTCCGGATGTTCAGCACAGGTATAACTGATGAAAATATTTAAAAATCTCTTTAGAACTTACATTGAATTCCTTAGCTTTTTACTTTCTTCCACATATGTCACCCACAAGGCTAATGGAAACAGGAACCAAATGTATCCTGTGCATAGAGTTCAGTGAGAGTATATTTTCTCGCTGGCATACAACGCAAAGGAAACAAATCAAAGATTTTTTGATATTAGCAGTTTTAGAAAAGCGATTATGAATAGTTTTAAATGCCTGGTTATTGTTATTTCCTAACTAAAGTAATTATCAAATGTAGTTTAAACATTTGATTAAAATGTTATGTATGATAATCAATAAATATAAAACAAACGTGATGTGGTTTCTTCCGACTGAAGTTAAACAGTCAGGAAGATTACACATCTCTGGGTGCCGTGTGTGAGCCATAGTCACCAGATACATTGACTTATTCCATCATTTCCCTATAAAAATATATATGGTTTAGCATGGCGAGAATTCAGTAGAATAACAGTTTGAGGTGCCACCCTCTGTGGATGCTTGCATCATCAGAAAATAAACTGCTGAATAGGGACACATTTAGCTTTTAGTTTTTGTGTGGGATCAACAGGTGCCCCCCGCCCCCTCCCTCCCCCACCCATCACTGAAAAGTTAAATATATTTGCAAATATATAATTTTATGCTGATCTTTTTCTTTCACATTTTGTTGTATTTATAACTTCAATGTCATCACCTAGTTATTTCATGGAAATGTTTTAGTTTGTGCAGCAAAACACTTAATTGACTTCTAACATTGATACTTATTGTAATTTTATTATTCATTTACTTCATATAGATTAATCCATTCTCTGATTAAAATACTGGAGCAAACCTAAGGAAGAGAATAAATTACATTAAAATACACTTAAGATTCTGAAAATAATTTACATAAATTTAATTCAATTTTAAAACTACTTTTGCAGAGGTGTATATTTTCAAAGCTGCAGCAAATGTATTATTAAATGATTTGGAGTATAGGATCATGATTAAAGAAAAGGAAACCAAATATATGAAAATTGGTGGTATTTTCGAACTGTTAATGGATCTCTGGTTTGATTTATGTTGACTACTATTCTCTGTACAACTCTGCTAAAAAGCTATAAGTGGTATTTAAAGTAGCGCTAAATAGACATTTCCAAAAGCTATTAATTTGCATTGTTAACGTCAAGTGCTGAGTTCCAGATGCTTCATTATAAACGTTACTCTTCCCTGATTACAATTTTACGTGTATTTGAAGTAACTGGCACAAAACAAAATAAAAAATCAACGTAGAACCCAAATTTGTCTCCAGTTGCTTTAACTTGTTGCAGGTAATCATGCCAACATGTTTTGAACTATAGGTTAAGCAACTTTGCGTTTCAAACTAAAGGGAGGGAACATGTGGTCACATCGGGAAAGTGCTAGATCTGTACAGTCAGCGAAGCAGTTTGCAGTATCATTTTCACAAATCAATACAATTCTCGACCGTTCTACAAGTTACTACAAGTTTATCAACTGTTGAAACGCAACTTTCAGTTAAAATCACAGTATCAAAGTGTGACACCCATGAAGATTTACTGTCTGTTTAATTTTTAAAAGATCCAAGAAAAATTACGTCTCCCCCTTCCCCCAAATACAGTGTGAACATACTTCTCATGAAATTGTTTCCTGATACCAAATTGTATCATACCTCGAGGTGGAGATGACAAAACCAGCTATAGCTAGTAAACACATCCGGCTGTCATAGATGCCATATTTTGAGTGCGCTGGGGATATGAAGCAGACTTGTCTAGGTAACCCTCCCCCAGCACCGCTGCCAGCTTACCAGCACTCCTGACCGCTGTCAGACAGCCTATTCAAGCACAATCGCTTTCTTCACACATCGACTTTCAAGCCAGTCCTGCGAGGGGGAAAAAAGGAGTTTCCGAAGTCGATTGCACATGCAGTTTGGATCGCGTGAAGTTCCTGTGCGCCCCCAACCATCGCCGCTGTCACATTGTGTGACAGTGCATGGCTGACCCCAGCTTGTCACCAGCGGAGGGGGGCAGCGCCACGCCCCCGCCCCCACACTGACAAAACTCATCACTTGGGTGAGGGGACCCACATAGTGATAGTTGTAGCTTCTGCAGACTTCTCCCTCTCAGACAAACCCAAACATTACAGCCGTCCCTGTAAATATCCTTTATCCTCTACTGTGCTTTTACAACCAGTGTTGTGGGACCGCGGATCCTACAGTTCTGTATCCTATAGGTTTAACTGTGCCCTTTTTAATACTGGGTATCTCAGCTTCATCCAAAATTAAAGGTAACATTTTTTTAAAAAAAGAGGTAAACCTCGATAATACTGAAATGCATGTTTGTTTGTTTTTTTAAAAAATCCGAATCACAGTCATGTTCTGTCATCATAATTTGCGGAGGTTACTCTAAATTTTAATTTAAGCCTCCAAATGTTCATCCCTTTTGCCTGTACGTACAC